ATCTCCTCACCTGAGGCATGGTGACCCTCAGGTTAAACCACCTCCAGTTGTCTCACTCTCACGCTCTCTCTCTGTGGTCCTCTGGGACAGTTGTGACCTTATCTTTTTATTTACTAAATATACTTGGCCTCCACTGCTTTATGTGATCGACAATTCCACCAGTTCACCACTCTGAAGAAATTTCTCCTCGTGGCAGTTCAAACCCTGTATCCTGAAACCATGATCCTTTGTTCTAGACAACCCCCTACCCTGGAGAGGGGGAGGAACAAGACAGGGGGAGTGTCATCCCTATAGATAGTCTGTCCAGTTCTGTCGGAATTTTTGTTTCAATGAGATGGAACATAGAACAGTACAGGCCCTTCGGCCCACGATGTTGTGCCGAACTTTTACCCTAATCCTAAGGTCTATCTAACCTCCACCCCTGCCTTATACTATCATCCATATGCCTGTCTAATAGCCGCTTAAATGCCCCTAATGAGGCCGACTCCACTACCCTCCTCGACAATGCATTCCAGGCCCCTACCACTCTGAGCAAAGAACCTACCTCTGATGTCTCCCCTATATCTACCTCTGCTCACTTTTTAAAACTATGTCCCCTCATAATAGCTACCTCCACCCTAGGAAAAAGTCTCTGGCTGTCCACTCTATCCTCTTATCATTTTGTACACCTCAAATTCCCTTTCGTTCTTCTAAACTCTAGCTCAGTCAATCTAATCTCTCCTCGTACAACAAACCTTATCATCCCAGGAATCAGTCTGGTGTCCCTTCACTGTCCTTCCTCAATGGCAAGTATTTCTTGGGTTACAAGACACCAAGCTAGAAGGGGCTATTCCTGCCAATAAGTGCTATGTTGCTGCAAAGATCACAAGTAATTCTATGGCCTCTGTGATGATTGGGAGGAAATGAGCTCAGGTCAGAGATAACTAAGTGTAATTGCAGCTGTCATCTTCCTACACTCACTCCCAGTGGCCAAGGCACATTCTCAGTTGATAGAATTAACCCCTTGAGTTTGCACATGATTCACTTCAAACCTTTTGTCTTTTTTGAATAATTTTAGTTTTGTTTCTAACATATGGTCACTCTAGTTTATATAGTCAGAAACAATGAATAGCCATCCATCCTAGTGCATTGATGTTGGTTACCTTGATATATTTGGAACAGTCCCAGTGTTTCTGCCACTTGCTTTACCTGGATAGATTTTCTGATGTTTAGAAAAGTTATTTTGCTATCTCAGTTCATTTTGATGTTCTAGAGATGGTGGAAGCTGGTACAATTACAATGTTCAAAAGGCATCTGGATGGGTACATGAATAGGAAGAGTTTAGAGGGATACAGGCCAAATGGGACAAGATTAATTTAGGATATCTGGTCAGTAGGTATGGGTTGGACTGATGGGTCTGTTTCCATGCTGTACATGTCTATGATTTAACTCTTCTGTCACCAAGAATTCCATGTTGACAGATTGGATGGAAACCATTCAGCCCATCGTGTCTGCTGGCTTTTTACATTCCCTCTGCTTTGCTCTTTCCCCCATATCCCAGTGTGTTTCCCCTGTTGCAAATTTCAAGCTTTTCCCTTTTCAAACAGTTGCATCATTGCTCTGCCTCAGACACCCACCTTTTGAAAATCGGCTATTCTCTGGCTCTGTTTGTCACCATCTCACTGTTTATTTCCTTTTTTACATTTGACCATCAGAACAAAGGAGCAGGCCATTTGCCTTTATGCCAATCTAATACGATGAGGACTGATTCTCTATCTCAACACCATATACCTGCTTTCTCACCATATCCCTTGATTCCTTTAATATCTTAAAATTAATCTCATTTCTTCTTGAATATACTTATGACCCGGCCTCCTGAGCCTTCTGTGATAGTGAATTCAACAGATCCACCACCCTTTTGAGTGAATAAATTTATCCTCATCTCCCACCTAAATGGTCTGCCCCATAGCCTAAGACTCCTTGGTTCTAGACTCCCCTACTAGGGGAACATCTTCCCTGCATCTAGTCTGTCCAGCCATGGTAGATTTTTATACATTTTAACCAGATCCCCTCTCATCCTTTTTAAACCCTTGTGAATACAGACCCAAGTCGAACCAGTCACTCCTCAGCCGGGGAGTGGCGGGGTGGGGTTGCTGGGTTGGAGGCTGTTTGGAGGGGCAGTGTGGACTCAATGGGCCAAGCTGCCTGCTTCCACGTTGTAGGGATTCTATGATTCAACAGCCCTGCTATTCCTAGCAGCAGCCTAGTGAATCTGTTTATACGGCTCTCCCTTAGACAGGGAGACCAAAACTGCACACCCCACTCCAGGTGCCATCTCACCAAGGCCCTGTATGACAGCTGTAAGACACCTCAACTTCAGAACTCACTGAGCCATTTTTCCACACTGTTCTTTGGTGTCATTGGTATCCAGAAACAAACCATATTTATCTGGAACACTCCCTTCTGACGATACTTAAAAGATGACCCCTGCAGGAATTAACTTGCACATTTAACACCTTTTTTATTACTTCCCTCAGTGAGACAGAAAAATGGCATCATAGCCTCGGAATTGCTGGGAACTATTTCAGTTGTTGTTCTCCTGTTTTTCTTTCATGCAAAGATCTATCTGTTTTATACCATGTCTGATTCAAAAGGTGGTATTCATATTTAACGAACTAAAGTTGAGAGTTTAGGATCTATAGGGACCACAATGTCTGCTTTGACTTCCCTTTTGCTACTTGGTTATCAGTAACTGGCTTAGTCATCCTTTTAAATCCTGCTGTCAGTCTCACTAAAAAGAGTGCACTGTACCCTGTACCAGCAGGTGAGTTCAAATCCAAGGACAAGTTGTAAAATTATGGACTAACACCAGAGACAAATTGTCCACAAAAACTACTAGATTAAACCAGTTCAGTGTACCAAAACTCAGTCTGAGCTAGTAACCTAGGAACAGGAATAAGGCATTTAACCTCATTCGTCTGTTCGGCCATTGATCTGTGACCCAGCATTATTACACCTGCCTTTTCCCCATATCCCTTAAAAGCTTTCAGTTAATGAAAACCTTGTCAATCTCTGCTTGAAAAGGTACAGTAGATCAATTGCCACTTGCAAAAAAGAGTCCCAACCTTAGAATGCAAAAATTTTCCTAATTTCAATCCTGAAAAGAATCTAGCCCCTAGTTGTAGACTCCCAACTGGGGTACAAAGATATTTTCTCTATCTGAACCGTTTGTCGAAATTACCCTTTAACCTTCCAAATTCCTGGAAACGATCACAATTTGTAACAAAAGAAAATAATGCTGGGAATACTCAGCGGATCTGGTATCATCGGAAAGAGAGAAAGTCAGCATCTTTCGTTTTTAATTATCTATCGTCAGAAAACATGCCTGATACATCCTTGTGATTTAACCTTGGATTGCAACTCTTTCTGGTAAGACTATGCTGTGCTGGCTCCAAGTTAAATGCACCTTTCCTAAGGTGCAGTACCAGAACTGTTCACAGTAACTCCAGATGCAGTCTAGCTAGGCTCTGTATGGCTGAAACATAACTTCTGCCCCTTTTTATTTTAGTCCTTGTGGGTTTAAAGGATACCATTCCATTAGTCTTTTTAATTGTTTTCTGTGATAAAGTGACTTCAGTCCCAAACTGTATGTTTGACATTTAATGGACAGCTGAAGATGGACAATTTAACATACTGTTTCAAAGTGAGAGACATAATTTAGTACAAGTTTACAAGTTACTTATAAGCACATAAAGAGGGGGATGGATTTGATTCTAAATTATGTCAAATAATAAAATTCTACTATTATATTAAAATATGTTACAAGTTCACGAAAACATTCACTTCGATTATTGTTCCACAAATGCTGTCCAGCAGAAATTTTATTTTCTTGCAAGGTTGGTGGCATCAGAATCTTCAGTTCTTGGAACCATTGTCCAAAATGAGATTTTACTGTATTATATTTCAACGAGTAAAGACCAAAATGTGCTTCAGTTGATGGTCTTTTGTAGACGTGTAATGGTTTGTGTTGGGGCATGTGTCATCTCAGACTGTAAACCGTGTTTCAACACTGTGCAGGTTGGAGTTGTGTATTCATGAGATTTGCTTGGATTTAGATTTTTGATGTTGAGCTTTGCTGGTTTCCTACCTTATGCTCTCTTGCCTAACCTCAACTCTTCTGCTTTTGTTTCCTTCTAACCTGACTGTGGATCCTGAAGATCGCCTGTATCATCAACTTGAGCAAAATCGTCTTCTTGCTAATGAGCTTAAGCTGGCCTTGAATGACCTGAGTGCCTGATTTTGAGGGGTGGTATCTAGCCTGGTTTCTAACACACTTTTTTTAAGCTGCTGACTGCTGTATTTTCTCCTCTGACTAGTTTTGGATTGTGTGTCAAATGAGCTCACTTGCCTAACCCATTGGTATATTGTAACTTAGCCAGCTTGCTAATTTATTCAAACTCTCTCTGAATTTTAGATTTCCCGGTAAGTGAACTAGTCTATAGGAAAATATCTGTTTCAGTGCAAATGCTGTAAGCTGCCATTGTATTGTATGCAGTTTTTGACTAGTTACCAGATGTGCTTGCAGTAATTTTTTTTTGTTACGCTAGCATTTAGTTTGTAACGGTCTAACCAGCTGATCGTGTATTTGTAAATGCAGTTCCCTTGCATCTTTGCATTTTATTTTCTTAAATTACCAGTTGTGAATCCTTTTTAAAAAAAAAAAAGTTTGCATTTATATGAATCCTTGCATGGTCTTGATGTCCCAAAATGTCTTTGAACCAATTGCATACTGATACTGTCATAATGTGAGGAAACAGGATCCTGATGGTAGCTAAGGATTTGCCCTTATTTTCAAAAGAGAACATTGTAAACTTGTGTTTACACAGTGCATGTGAACAGTTGGCTTGACCTGGATAGCAGGATTCTATGTGCATGCCTTCAGTGTAAAACGGGCATCTTTTTTGAGTAAATATGTGTTGTGTTTCATTGATTTATTTATCTATCTTTTAATCTTGCAACAGAGAAACTGGCACAAGCCAAAGAAGAAAACCTCGGCATGCACCAGATGCTCGATCAAACTCTACTGGAGCTTAATAATTTGTGAGCTACATTGATTTGCTGCAAGCTGGTTGCCTCCTCGGTTATTAAAAGCCCTTCTTGAGAATAAGTGCTCCCACCCCCCCCACCTTGCTTTTATGCAGATATTTGGCTGAGGGGGCAGGCAGCTAGGAGTTAGATCGTGATAGAGCAATGGCATGTTCCATGATGATAATAAGAAACAATTAAACATTTTGATTAAATCTGTTGTACCCCTTGATTGCCACTTTTTGACATTTTTAATTTTAGAACTTCCAGCTGTTTACAAAAGTACTGTCAATTACAGGCTGTCTACATTTTAAAAGGTCCACTCTCCCACACCCAATTTAATTCTTTGATATTTGCCAGAAATTATTTTTAAAAACTTGCCAAATAATATTCAACCTGGCATTTTTTTTTTCCCCCTGTTTTGAGTGTTCTTTATAATGGAAGAACGCACTGGTTATAAGATAAAAGAGAAATTTGGGAGCGGTCCATAAGACCCACTTTTCTTTTCTTCTAAAGCACTGGGTTTTAAATACTTGCAAATTATATTTTGGAGGGAAGGGATAACTTAGAGGAATGTTTTATTAGAAGGTCTGGGTACTGCAGCCTATAATATTATTTGCTTTTGTAACAAGTGTGTGTGTTTATCTTCTCCCTTCTGTCTGAATTAGTCTGAAGTATGAACTGCAAGTCTCCTTCCATGGCAGTGCAACATTCCCCAGTGTGACTGGGGGAAAAGAAGTTGCAATTTTAAATATAGTAAACGAGGTACAAATAGGGACCCATCAATAAAATGTGAACATCAGTAACGTCACTTGTCAAAAAGCAGCAATTAATGTTAATTGAGATGTAGATGGTAGTATCACAAAAGGCATAGCGGGGAGATTCTAGAATATACTTGTTAAAGCCAGCCTGCCTCATTCTGCTTCCAAGTCTAGGTGTGGAGGGCCAATCCCGAATCTCGTATTAACGTCGCAATTATTACTAGGGTCTCCATATTAACAGGATTGATTTTGCTTGACCAGTTGTTAAAGTCATAAATGAGTACACAAGCATGGCTGAAAACTTTAATTGCCTTGTTTTCCTTTTTGTGTACTGCTGAATATTGTACAAAATGTATGAATGACTTAAAATCCAAAGACAATTTTTGTTACAAAAGGCAAATAATGAGTAGAACATACTGGTGATGCTTCCCTGTGCACGCTTAATTGTGAATTGTCTTAACAATATGCTTGTCTGTAAACTTTATAATGGTAATAAATACACACTCATGAGATTTTGTAAATCAGTCCTTTTGAATTTCTTAATGAACTTCATACTTTTTTTCTGTCAAAGAAATTAAGATTGTATTTATTCAGCATCATTCATGACCTTTGTAATGTCCCAGAGTCCTCTTTATAGCCAATTTTTGAAGTTCACTCATTGTTGGCTACTTCATCAGTAACCATCCTTTCATCCTGAGGTCCGAAGTGGTGACATTTGCTAATGATTTTAACAATGTTCAATGTTATTTGGTGACTCCTCAGAAACCGAAGTATTCCATATCTGTATGCAGTGTTATGGATCAGACCAAACCCCCTCAAAATATGTCAAGAAGATAGCCTAGACCGTAACTTTTTCTTATTTTAAAGGCAAGTGCAGGCGCTGCATTCTTGATGCAATTTGATTGGTTAAACCACCAGCCTTGAAGCAAAACACACTATTTGGTGTGTGAATAGTTTAAAATACAACAAAAGAAAAAAGAAAATTGGAAGAACTTAACTCTCTTGGAAAATTTAATGGAATAATAGATTATTTAACTACTAAACAGTAACTGTTCCAATGTAGGAACATCCTTATAAATACACGCTTGGCAAAGGCAAATTCAGTAAAATAGATTGTCTCGCATGCAATTCTAGCGGCAGGAAGAGAACCCCAGATTTTTAGCTGTATCATAGAAGAAAAAACAGCTTCCACATTACAGCTTCAAGACTCTAGCAACAATCACTACTGAAAAACTGGTTCTGTAGGAGCTTGACCGCACCCATTCAGGCTGCTTCTATTGTTCCAACTTTTTTTAAAAAAAAAAGGTCCCACAAGCTTTACTGGATTCAAATAGATAGTTTGGTACCTCTCTTGAAACTTCCCTTCAAAAAAAAAGGACAAAATGTACTGCTTAAACTCATAGTATTGTCACAGCAACAAGACCTGGACAACATCCAGGCTTGGACTGTTAAGAGGCAAGTAACTGTGTCAGGCAATTAAATTTAAAAAGAGAATCTAACCACTTCTCCTTGACATTCATTGGCATTAGTGTCACTGAATGCCCCACTATCTTTCTGGGAGTAACCATTGACCAAAAACTGTACTGGATCAACCATATAAATACTGTGGCTCCTGACTTCCTAGTGTTTGTCCACCATCTCCAAGGAGCAAGTCCAGGAGTGTGATAGAATATTCACTTGGCACCCCATCCAACACTTTACAGCAAAAGTGAATTTTTAAGGAGATGGCAGAATGCACCACTACCCAGACTCAGTCAACAACACCTTCCAAATGCTTAATGACAACATAGGAACACCCCCACCACCTTCTGCAAGTTCCCCTCCAAGCCATACATCATCCTGACGTGGAAATACATCACCAATCCTTCACTGTTGCTGGATCAATATCCTGAAGCTACCTTCCTAACAGCACTGTAGGTGTACCTGCATCCGTAGACTGCCATAAGTTCAAGAAGGCAGCTCACCACCACAGTCTCCAGGGCAATCAAGTGGACACCAGGACACAGTCATTGATGCCTACACCCTGTAAATTAATAGAAAAACCTTAGCAGACAATTTTGCATAGCTAGCTCTCATTAGTAACACATTAGTAGTAATCAACTTGTTATTTGGGTTAAGGAATAAACATAGGCGAGGCTTGGGCACTGGGCACACTCTAATCTTCATTTGAAGTGAGTGTTGTAGAAAACCCTCTTCATAGGGCTCGATGGGCCACAGTCCAATGTCTCATCGAGGTAGCATCTCAAACAGTGCAGAGCTCTGCTTGGATAGCAAGAACTACACATGCTGGAGTCAGAGATAACAGCGTGGGGCTGGAGGAGCACAGCAGGCCAGGCAGCATCAGAGGAACAGGAAAGCTGACGTTTTGGGTTGGGACCCTTCAGAAAATTGGCTCTGCTTGGACCGGGGCCCCAGAAGTCCAACTATAAGGTGAGTGAGATAACAAGGTGTAGAGCTGGATGAACACAGCAGGCCAAGCAGCATCAGAGGAGCAGGAAGGCTGACATTTCGG